GAAAGATTTTGAAACTAAATAGTTACTATTTGGATATGTATTTATTCATAAATTATATATAGGTATTATTTTGCTTCTATGTTATATACAGTGCAGATGTGCTAAAAGATGATAATGAAAAAATATTGTGAATTGTCTATTTACTTAATGAATAAAGTTTTCCCTAAAAATAATGAACACTAAATTTTTTTTTTTTTTTTTTTTTTTTGCTACCGGTGATCAAACTAGGGTCCTTATGCTTTCAAGGCAGGCGGCAGAACCACTGAGCTAAATCCCCGGCCCCATGAACACTAAATTTTTACAGTCTTCATTATTTGAGCAAATCTTGGTTTAATATTTTATAATTCAGAGATCTAAAAAATCTGGTTCTAGGCTTAATTTATTTTTGATACTTAGTTTTAATGGTTGTCAAAAGTAAAAAGAAATAGGGCCGGGGATTTAGCTCAGTGGTTCCACTGCCTGCCTCGAAAGAGCAAGGACCTGAGTTTGATCCCCAGTACCAAAAAAAAAAAAAAAAAAAAAGGAAAAATAAATACATAAATAAAAGAAACCTCATAAAACTTTCAAATAGATGAAATACATTATTGACAGTACATAGAAAATAATGATACTTGTTCTTCAATACCATCTGTGAATTAAGCAAAAAATTTTTATGAAATGTGACTACTAATTCCATAGTACTTCATGTGAGTCAGTAGCTCATGCAAACCAATGAGCTTAAGCAAAAAGCCTTAAAAAATTTTTAATGAAACATTTTATGTATTGATTCTCATTCATTAGGACTTCAAAAGAAGCTGCCAAACATTTTAAATTAGATTTAATAAAATTTCATAAAGTACTTGGTAGAATATTTTATGGAACTTTTTTTTCTTTTTTTGGTACCAGGCATCGAACTCTGGATCTTGCACTTGGGAGGCAGGCAGTAGAACCACTGAGCTAAATCCCCGGCCCTTGATAGAATATTTTATGATATTAAATTTAGGGCTGGGGATTTAGCTCAGCAACACAGCCCCTGCCTGACAAGTGCGAGGTCCCGAGTTTGATCCCCAATACCAAAAAAGAAAAACTTTGCCAAAATTTTTGTCTTCATGTTCTGGAGTCACACATACATACAATATCATGTATATATAATCTAAATGTGCAATCTGCATATGTTAAAATCTGTAATATAGATACATCACACATGTACATGTATATGTATTTTTTTGTGCTGTCAGGGCATGAATTTGGGCCCTGGCACACGCTCTGCAAATACTCTACAACTAAACTACACTCCCAGGCCTGCATATGTATTTATATATAATATATAAACCTATATAAACTAATATATTTACACATAGCATATATAGTTATATATAGTAAATTCACACATAAATATACAAATATAGTAAGCAAACACTTCTCATTAATTATAGTAGATCTATCTTTTTTAATTAGTTAATTTTATTGATACATTTCAGGTATACAATATAATGACATTCATCATTGGAAATTTGCACCTTTACCTAATATCTCTTGGTTCTTATTTTTCCCCCATTCCCCTGCCCTCCCTTCAAGCCCTCCATCCCTATTTTTTTGTTTTTTGTTTTTTTGGTGCCAGAGATCGAACTCGGGACCTTGCGCTTGCAAGGCAGGCGCCAGGACCACTGAGCTAAATCCCCAGCCCCGATCCCTCTCTATTTTCAAAGACTTTGTTTCCTTTTTTCATTTTCTCATATTAATTCCATTCCCTTCTATCTTAATATTTGAAATTATTTTGCTTGAGTTTTGGTCAGCTCTGACTGGGTGGGCATTGTCATCACTTCCCAATGTAGCAGAAAAAGGTCTCCAGCCAGAAGTACAGTTCTGCCACATTCTTGTTGTTTTGTTTACTTTGTTTATCTTCTATGTGAGAGTCATTCGCAAGGAACTTTTTAAACTGCACGTCAGTTTTAAGATTCGTTTAAGTCGAGGTGACGCAATCCACAAACCCACGGAACCCAGTACATGCCAACCTGATCTTTCTGTGTGGAGAGCAAGTGAAACGTGGGGAACGTGCTCCCCAGAACTCCCCTTCCCTAAAGGCTCCTCCCACACCTATCCTCCTCTATTCAACACAGGACCAAAAGAATGGCGGGGTACACTCTGTTTGACACCGGTGAAGCTGCATTTCTTTCCCATCTATGGGAGTGTGCCTAAGCCCTGACTTTTCTTTTCAGTGCTGTAGATGGAACCTAGGGCCTCACACATGCTAGACAACCCAACAGTTTTAAAAAATTTGTTATTTGGAGACAGGGTCTTATTAAAATGCCCTGAACTTGCAATCCTCCTGCCTCAATCTCCCAAGTAGCTGGGATTCTAGGAATATGCTGCTGCATGTCTTTAACCAACTGTGTGCACTGCTCTGTCATGGGGACAAATGCGAGCAGAGAGAAAGGAGAGCCTGGGATTTGGAATCAGAAAAAGCAGAATTTAAATTTAGGGTCGGCACTGAATTTCACGCCTTCCATTAGCCACTTACTCATTGTGCGGTTCAATGTTTTTATTTCTGCAATTGGAAAGGGAGTGTTTCCTATGTCTGACTGACAGAAGGATTAAACTTGTAGACTTTTATTTGGGTCTAATTTAAAAAGTGAATGTCTTCTTGTTGTGAAAGCTTACCTGATCCTGAGTTTTATTTTGCTTCCTCCTTCTTATCCTTCCTCCTTTTTTCCTTTTCTGAAAATCTTCTTTAGATCTCTCTATCTTTTCCTCTCAAGTTTCTTTTCTTCTTTCTCGTTCTCTGAATTAAACCTCAGGCTTCACATGTGCTAGGCAAATACTTTACCACTGAGCTATATCACCAGTCCTTTTAATTTTTAGTTTTGAGACAGTCTTGTTAAGTTGCCCAGAGGGGCTCAAAGTTGCAATCCTCCTGCCTCAGCCACGTGAGTAACTGGATTTACAAATATGCCAACATGCCTAGTTTACTTGCTCCTTCTTTGAACACTTCATGTGTTTAGCTTGCAGGATACCACTTTCTCTTTATTTTCATTCTACCTTGATGGCCCATCAGTCTTATTTTCTTTTGAACGATCCTCCTCATTTCCCAGGCCTTACACGTTGGTGTGACCCAGGGCTCAGTCCTCATACCCCTTCTCTTATTTTTCCTTACTGTTTCAGAGCTCAGAAATTTGCCATATTCTCTGCCTGGAAATCTCTAAGTGTGCAAAGACTTGCTCCTTAACTTCAGGTCCGTGTTCAAGGTTAGTTTTTCTTAACCATCTTACCTGTCTCCTTAGCCTGGTTTAATTTTCTCTGCAACACTTATCATTGCTCAACACACTAAGTACTACTTGTGCATATATTCATTGTTCAGCTCCCTGCACAAGACATAACCCCTGTGAAGGCCAGGATTTTGTATCGTTCAGTTTTATACCCAGGTAAAGGAATAGTACTGGGCAAAGAAGAAGTATCTGATACAATTTTTATTGAATGAGTAAGTAAATGAAAATAGACAACATTTTCCCATTATTTCCTAAGCTAAGGTGGATAACTCTTTTGGTACTTTTGGTCTTTTGGTACTTCAGTGTGTTCAAAAAGAAAGGAGATTTTATGCCTCTTCTCAAGATGCCAGTTTATAAAGGAATGATTAAACTGCCAGCTGTCACATTCATATCAGGAACAGTCCGCTAGTTTTAGAATTTTCATAGCCTGTAGTTCATGGGTTCCAAGAATGGCCTTCAGGGTTCTATTAGTTTTCCTGAATTTCAGGATGAAATGTTATATGTGTACATGCATCTTCCTTAGGAGAAGTGTTACAGCTTTGTCAGATTTACAAGGAGGGTCTATGGTCCAATTACAAGGGTTTGAAATTTCTTATCTTCTTTGAATGTTGGTTAGCTAAAATGTAGTATGTTGAAGATAAAACTCATCATCTTCCTCCCCAAACCAGTTTATCTCTTTGCTTTCCCAGAAGAAAAGCACTATGGTATTAAAAGTCATACACTATGCAAGTGTCCATGTACAAGTAAATTGTTAGCCATCCTCTCTTCAGGAAGTAGGAATTTGTAAAGTATATACAAGTCAACAGAAATTGCTTAGGGTCAGGGATTTAGCTCAGTGGTTCCGGCCCCTGCCTCACAAACGCAAGGTCCGAGTTCGATCCCTGGTACCAAAAAAAAAAAAAAAAAACATAAAAAAAAAAGACAGATATGTAATTGCCTTGACAGGCCTGAACTAGTAGTTACACATGCTGGGTCTTGTTCAGCACTAGGGACTTAGAGAATATATCAAATCCCTTTGCTGCCTGTCAGTTTTTCAGTTATATGAACGTGTTATGTCCTCTTTTCTCGCTCCCCCCGGGTCCCCAGCTTTATTTTTCCAGAGAAGATGTCTGAACACGGCACAGGGAGAGGACACAGACAACTCTCCTCACACTCCAATTTTGTACCAATAACACCCTTTTTTGAGTACTGTCTTGTCTGGCGATTGTTCAAGATTGAACTCCCAGAGATAGACACGATGCTTCATGCAGCTTAGTATCGCAAGATGGCTGCCGTGGCCCAATGCAGGACGGCTTGGAAATGGATAAGGCTGAAAACCTGTCAAGTAGTTAGAAGGCTGCGGTCCTTTTCTGGATTAGAAATTGTGTAGAACTGAACGAGGCTACAGAGACGGTGAGAATGCAGAGGGTGTCTGTCATACAACTGGTAAAAGACTCAGGAATTGGCGAGCAATGGCGAGTGCAAGAAGGAAGCGGAAGGAGGAACAAGGGTGACATCCATGTTGCCGCAGAATAAGGGGGTTGACCAGAGTGGCAAGGGAGCCCGGCACTTCACTGAAGTCCAACACTGAGAAGAGGAGGAGGCAGCCTAGGAGACGCAGAGACAGAGTATGCCCTAGGCAAATCAAACGCCCCAGGGAAGCCAAGCAGGCAAAGATGGCAAGGGTGTAAGAACTGGGGATAATAGCAAAGTTTGAGCTTTGGGTGTGGGACTGGGGAGAGGAGCCTGTGATGGACAAGAAAATTATTCTTGCAGCTCCGCAGTGCTTGGCCTAGCGCGTGGCACGCGATAAATGGTGAGCTTTGGGGGAATGAATCTTGCTCGAGGCAATGGTGGAAGGAAGGGTTGGCGGCTTCGGCCCCAGGCTGGAACAGCGGCTACTGCGGGGATGGTGGGCGGTGGCACGGGACGAGGTGGGGCTCCCTGGAGGCCAATCGGAGCCCAGCACTCAGCTGGGCCACGCCCCTGCCGCGCCCCCGACCACGTCCCCGCCCCGGTCTCGCCAGGCCCCAGCGCCGCGCGTCACTCGCAGGCCGCCAGAGGCGTGCGCAGCCGCCCAGCTCCCGGAAGTGCGCCGGAGCCGGCGCCGCGGCCCGAGGTGAGCGCGTGGGCTGGGTAGGCCCGGCTGCTGGCGTCCTGGGTCAGGCCCGGCGCCGACCGCGTCCGCTCGAGCCTCGGCCGGTTCCCTGGGAGCGGCGACGGGGTCTGCTGACGCGCGCGCCCGTGCGCCTGAAAGCGCGTTCGCGGGCGGCGCGGCGAGCGCAGCGGGAGGGGCGGCCCAGGCTTGCGTGGACTCGGCGCGTGAGGACGCCAGGCCGCCGACTCTGCGTGCCTGCGCCAGTGGGCGGTGCCGGGTGCGCCTGCCGGTCCCGCACGGGGACGGAGAACCGGAGGCCCAGCGGCCCCCCCCCCCAGGACAGAGAAAATCTCAGGAGGAGGGATCCTCAGGGGATGACGTGGGGTCTCTCTCCAGCCAGGGTGCTGTCGACGTTGGAGGGCGCCGGGTGGAGACAGTTTCTCTTTAACTCTGCCCTGGTCTTGGGCACTAATGCTGGTTACTGCCCCAGCCCTTTGTGACAGCCCCTGAAGCTCCCCCACACATTACCGGACGTTGGCAGGTTTCCTTCCCGAAGCACAGGTTTCAGTGCTTGCTTGGACTTGAATCTGGCCGTCAGTTGTGAGCCTGGGAGGTTCCTAATCTGTAAATTCTGAGAATTAGATAAACATGATCAGAGCCGAATAGTGAGCTGATTCATAGCAGATGCCCAATCAATATTACTTACGTGTGCAACCATGTCTGTAACTTATGAGTATATAGCAAGTATACTTACATAGTTGTACATTTAAACACTCATTCTAATATGTGGCAGCTTTAATAAATATAACAAGTATGCATTTGTAATAACGAAGTTTTTAGGTAACTAACGGGACCACATCCTCATGAAGTCATTGAGATATAAACCCATTAACCTTCTAAAGTAATTTAATTTTGAATAGGAAAGACATTTTTCTTACTACCATCATGGTGTATAATTACATCAGATTTAAATATGTAAGATCTATAATTTTCCTTAATGTCACTCCTCCCAGATGTTTCTTAAACTGCTATGTTAATTCAGGAACTCACTAAATTTGAGTATGTTTATAGAAGAGTATCTTACTATTTGAAGTCTTGCTGTTTCTTATTTCTGCCTTTTGTTAATGTGCTACTTGTTATTTAAAAGTCAAGAGCCAAGTTTATTTTAGATAGTGAAGGCATTTTGTACATACAGTTCAAAAGAAATCTTTTAAAAAAATAAATGTAAGTCTTGGGGCTGGGGATGCTGCGCGGCTGTAAAGTGCTTGCCTAGCATGTGAGAAGAAACCCTATTTCTTCCCCAGCACCACACAAACAAAAATCTATAAGTCTCCCTCAAAAAAATGCTTCAGTTGCTTACTACAGAGTTTAATCTTCCATGTTTTCATTACCATTCAGTTTGAAAATATATTTTAATTTTTATTGTGATATCTTTTTTTTTGGTACTGGGAATTGAACTCAGGACCTTCTGCTTGAGATGCAGGCACCGTGCCCCTGAGCTAAATCTCCGGCCCTGTGATATTTTTTTTGACCATGGGTTATTGAATAATTTCTATAACTTGACATTTTCTGGATACCATACTGGTATTGATTTCTAACTTAATTGCACTGTGGATAGAAAATATGTAAGATTCTAATCTTTTGAAAATTATGCATATACTCTGGAGGAATGTTTTTTAGGCAATTGTAATGAGCATATATTTTAGTATATGTGCTGCCGAAGCAAGCACTGTAATGAGCATATATTCTGCACTTGTAGGGCTAGTGGTTTGTAAATGTCAGCAAGTTGGTTTATAGTGTTCAGATTTTCTATATCCTTATTTTTTTTGTTTTGTCTACTTATTTTTATCAGTTACTTAGAAGAGTGTTAAAATTTCCAACTATGAAGATTTGTTCTTTAAAATTATACAAGATACATACATATATTAGGTTATGTGTTGCAGACCATTTGAGCCATTTGTTCTAATGAATGTCCTTTTTTCTCTTTATATTGACATTACTTTGTCAGTACTAATATAGCTACATTAATTATGATTAATTAATTGACTTATTTCTCACAATAAAATGACCCTCTTAATTTTTTTGTCTTCAAAGAGAGTATCTCCTTGGTCAAATACTAAAATTTCCATGTCAGCATTGCTATTTGCATAGAGTATATTTTTTCATTCCTTTAATTTTCAAACTGTGACTTTATATTTCAGATGTCTTTTGTAGACAGCATGTAGTTAGTTGAATCTGCGTTTTAAAATCTGGCAAGTTCGCTTTGTAACTAGAGTGTTTAGTCTGCATACACTTAATATAGTTATTGCTATGGTTGAGTTTTAGGATGCCTTATTGTCTTGTTTTCTGTCTGACCTTTCTGGTTATTGGTTCTCTCTAACTTCTTTCCTATCATATTTTGGGCTATTAGTGTTTTTTGGGGGGGAGGGTATTTATTGACTTTTACACTCTTCTTCATTGGATAATGTTTTTAGAACATCCTTATTAAAGTTTAACTTATCAAAGTCCACTTTAATGTTGCATCACTTTACAAACTTTACAATTCATATTTGTCATTTCTCACCTGTCAATGCTTAAACTGCCCATTTCACACCTGATACTACCCAGCCACTGGCTTCCCATTTTCTGTTTCTTACATGGCAATTCACAAATATAGTAATATAAGATACTCCATTTGCTGCCCTCTTTGCTATTTAATATCTTTTATGTGACATATGCATTTTCACATACAGGGTTTTCTCACTGAGCTATATTCCCAGCCCTTTATTGTTTGAGACAAGGTCTTGCTGAGTTGCCCAGACTGAACTTGCAGTTCTCCTGCCTCAGCCTCCCAGAGTGCTGTGATTACCGACTACATTATATTTTCATTATTTTTGCTTTTAATTTCATTTTAAGGAAGTTAGAATTAAAAATGTAGTCTTTAATTTTTATTCATCAGTTTTAGTGTTGTGAATTTTTACGTAGACTGAGCTTTTCATCAAATGGAAGAATGTCCTTTAGTGTTTCTCATAGAACATATCTACTAGTGACAAATTATCCTGATTTATCTGAAAACTGTGGTGTTGGGAATCACATCATGTATTCTAGGCAAGTTCTTTACCACTGAGTTTATACCACCGGTTCCTGAAAACTGTATATAATTCTAAATTTTAAAGATGTTTTTGCTGGATATAGAATTCTGAGTTGCAATTCTTTTTATAGAATTTGCATTTGTTTCTGCTTATAGTATTGATTTCTCTGTGGAGAGTCCGTATATCTCATTAACACTGTATTTTCTTAAACTCTTTGGGCCATCTTAGTGTTGTTTTCTCTTGATTGCTGTGTTTGACTTTGGATCACATTTTCCTGTTTCTTTATGTGCTTAGTGATTTGGGGTTGTATTCTGGATATTAGAATGACACCTTGTAGATGCTAAAGATTCAGTTATCTTTTTTTTTTATGTAGTCCAGGCTGTCCCTGAACTTGAGATCCTCCTGCCCCAACCTCCTGAGTGCTGGGATTACAGATGTGCACTGCCATGCTTGGCTCAATTATCTTCCCTTGAAGAAGACCAGACCAGGCCACAACAAGCCTTTATTAGGGGAATAGATCTGCCGGGCTGTCTCTGAACAAAGAAGAGAGACAAAAGCAATATGGCCGGGGCAGGGAGAGTCTTTTATAGAGACTGGGGTGGGGTTTGTAGGGGCAGAGGTGGGGTTGAGTGAGGTAGTGACTAGGGAATGGAGGAGCCCATGATGTCACTAGCTGGTAGGAGGTGAGAGAGTATTAGGTTACTCTCTAGGCGGGAACAGGGGCATGCTGGGAAGAAGGGTTTATTCTTTGGTGGGAGCAACCGTCTTGGCATGTTGTCACACGGGAGGGGGCAAGGCACCATAGGAAGAGGGCAGCTACTATACATAATAGCTGCTGAGGTGGTGGGAGACCTATCAATGTTGATGTTTTATTTTAAAGACATTCTTTTACTGACTGATGGCCTTAAACTTTTATGGGCCAAGTTTATACTTTGATGGAGCAGATCTTTGGAAAGTCCAAGTTGTTTCCCAAGTTTTTCTAAATTGATTAGATTTCTAACCTGTGAATCTTGCTGAGGCTTGGATTTAGGTTTTGTTAAGGCAGGTGAGAGTAGGACTTCTTACTCTGGTGTGTGGTCTTTACTCCTAGCACGTAGCCTTCCTTCTAACTAGGATGCCTTGGGTATTAAGGAGATCTTTTCAGTCTGAATTATAAAAGCTCCAAACGTCTCACTGATTGGCCTTTTTATTTTTTTTTCAATCTCTGCTCTGTTCTTAACCCTCTTTTTTTCTTTTTTTCCTCCTCCTCCAGTACTGGGGATTAGACTCGGGACCTTGCACTTTCGAGGCAGGTGGTGGAACCACTGAACTAAATCCCCTGCCTTCTCAACCCTCTTTGTTAAGTCTTGTTTGCTGTTTGTTAAATCTTGCAGTTTTATCTGCTGATATGAAGTCCAGGTTGTCCAAGGGGAACACCCTACAGAAAGAACTCTGTCCTCATCCCTACAACTTCCTTCCTGGCCTGTTCATCACATTCCAGCCACTTGGGCAGCTCCAGATTTTAATTTCTCTCTCCTCAGGTTAGTGAGACCATTAGGATCCACTTGAACTTCAGATTCCTGTGCTGTGCTTAGGAAATTGTCCTTAAACAGACAGGCAGGATGGGGGTGGGGGCTGCCTCATGAATTTGTCTTCTCTCAGGGACTGCATAGTGCTTGGGCATAGTTGCCTTACATGTTTTTTCCATTTGTGGAGTTGCTTTCAGCAGGTAGGTTGGTCTGTATTGCTGATTACCCTGCTACTGTCAGAAACAGAATTTTCCAAACACATATTTGAGCACTTAATGTATGTTATTCTTGTGAACTAGATGCTGCATGATTATGAAAATGGATATGAGTGAAAAAATAAATTTGATGAGGCCTACAAGAGAAACACATGCTATTGGAATGATTCTTTTTTGGGGGGGGTACCGGGGATTGAACTCAGGACCTTGCGCTTGCAAGGCAGCCACAGTGCCACTGAGCTAAATCCCTGGCTGGAATGATTCTTTTAACTCCTTCTTTTTTGTTGTTGTTTCTTGAAAAAATTTATCTGCTTCATCATCATCCTCTCTTTGGTTTTTAAATGCCTTTATGATGTAGCATGGATTATTTGGGTAAAATAGTAGATGTGAGGAAAATGCTTCTTACACCTCAACAAAAATGTATCTAACAAAAAAGCTAAAGTGTTTAGCCAAGTGTGATGATGCATGCCTGTATTTCTAGCACTCTGGGAGGCTGAGGCAGGAGGATTGTGAGTTTGAGCCCAGCCCAGACAACTTAGTGAGACTGTGTCTCCAAAAAAAGAAAACCCTTCAGATATAGCTCAGTGCAAAGGCCCTGTGTCGTGGCCACACACAAAAGAGTAAAAATGTGATACTATTAATTAGCTTTGTGTCACTGTGACAGAATACTTGAGATAACTTATCAGGAGGAAAGATTTGTTTTGGCTCATGGTTTCATAAGTTGCATTTCATGGTTGCTTATTGCTTGGTCTTGTTTTTTTGGGCCTAAGGCAGCACAGTGCAGGGGTGATCTGTTTAACTATGATGGAAGCATCTGATCCTTTCAATATCAGCTTATATTCCTAGTGTATTAATTTCTTTGCCTTGGTATATTTTTAAATTAGCAGATACAAAGAATTTTGCAGAAGAGCTATCCTATGGTACATTTCACTCTTATACATGGACTGGACATTTGAAGAGCTATAGGGAATAGGGAAAGGGGATGTTACCTCTGCGGTAAGTCCTACCTAGTCTCCTACGAGCCATGACAGCACAAGGCGAATTAATTAATAAAGACAGAAAAGATGGAAAAATGAGACTTAGAGAAGAAGCTGAGCTTTGGGCCTGATCAGTGCTGCTCTGAGCAGTAAAGGTGAAAGACCCTGAGCTTGCCACACCTTTATTAGGTACCTCTGGAGTAACAAATGTTATGGGTGACTCAGAGGGCAGCTGGAGGTGATAATCTTAGAACAATGAGGAACTATGCAGATGAAGATTTTGTTCCTCGAAGAATGTCTTCAGCTGATATAATCCTGCCCTGGACCCTTGAGGTTTAGCTGTGACCCCAGGCGAAAATGAAATTATGTCTCAACAAGCCATAGCTGGCCTGTGGGCAGGAAAACTAGGCCTAATCATAATTTTAATTGTGAAATGATTTTCCCCCCAAATTATGTAGAATTGCTGCCCACAAAGACCAAGGGAGAACATGATAGAATGGGAAGGGTGATGGTGGCTATTTAGATATCACATCAGTGGTTTGCTTTGCAGCTTCAAGTTTCCAATCTTTCAAAATAGAATAGTGTGTACTTTGAGCAGTTTCCAAAGATCCATAGTTGACTGCAGGTCTATTTAGGTAGAGTTTGTGCGTTCTTTCTAAAAATGTATCATCCTCTTCTAATAGCACCTAATACCTCTCTCTCTCTCTCTCTCTCTCTCTCATTAGGATCTTTGTGAAGACTTGCTTGTTTCCACCCAGAAGCACCTAAAAGGACCTCTGAAGGCAGACAATGCCCACTGACCTGGGGCCAGCCCTAGGCCTGCTGCCTTCACCAGCTAAGAATGACGACTGTGCCTTCTCTGGATCAGATGCTGCCCCTCCAGGGGAGCTTTCCAGCCCTGAGACCGCTCGCCAGCTTTTCAGGCAGTTTCGTTATCAGGCGATATCCGGGCCCCATGAGACTCTGAGACAACTTCGAAAGCTCTGTTTCCAATGGCTGCGGCCAGAGGTTCACACCAAGGAGCAGATCTTAGAGATTCTCATGTTGGAACAGTTTCTGACCATCCTTCCAGGGGAGATCCAGATGTGGGTGCGGAAACAGTGTCCAGGAAGTGGAGAAGAGGCAGTGACCCTCGTGGAGAGCTTAAAGGGGGATCCTCGGAGACTGTGGCAGTGGGTAAGCAAGGGGATTGTTATCTCTGAGTAAAGTTCAGGGCACCTCTGGGCACACTCAGGTGTGGTGTGTATTTTTCTGGTACTGCTCATGACACCAAATGTATGGGGTTTCCACACCAACAATCAGCTCTGATTCCCTGATACCAGCTAAGTAAGTGTCCAGGAGTTCAGTTCAATTCTGACACAAACTGTCTGGAGTTAGCACAAGACTGCACAGGTGCAGGCACAGCCCACAGCGCTGCTCCTCCACTTTAGATGCCAGCTGCAAGGTCTAGGGACCACCTGTCTGACAAACTGGCTTATCAATTGAGGCTCGTTTTCACTCAGTGCCCCCTTCAGAATTGATAATTAGGATGACTTGCAGAACTCAGAGAAGCGCTTTACTTAACTATTACCACTTTGTTATAAAAGATACACCTCTCTAACAGCCAAGTGGAAGAGATACAAAGGCTTTTTTATGGGGGGTTCACTATTTTGGCACAGTTGATTAAATCATGTCATTGGTGATAGAAAATCTCTGGCCCCTCTTTCTGCAGAAGTTGGGGGTGAGGGCTGCAAATTCCAGCCTTTCAGTCACATTGTTGAGTCCTCTTTCAACATGGGTGCAAAGCTCCATCTTGAAGCTATCTAGAGGCTCATCAAGAGCTAGCTACCTCTTTATCATAAATTCAGGTGTGAATGGAAAGTCTTCATTACTAGTAACAAAAGACTTTCTTTTTTAAAACCTCTATCACTCAGGAAATTAAAAAGGTTCCAAGAACTCTGTGCCAAGGAACCAAGGACAAAGACCAAAGTTACATTTCTTATACCATATCTGTATTTCCCTCTACCTCACTTAATTCTAAAACTCTTTAATTCCCAACACTTTTTGACTGTTGGGGACTGAAGATAAAGTTTTTCCTCCCATTCCATCTTTAGAATGTTTGAGTTGTTCAAAACTTGCCTGAGTTTTAATTGGTGAAGGCTGTCTGGTACAAACATAATATTAGTGCATTTTTGAAGGTCTTCCAGGCCCGCTTTAGACCTCAGCTTTTGGTATCTTTCGGGATAGTGGTTCCTGCTAGGCTAAACCCAGGAGCTGGCTTGCTTTTCTGTCCCTCATGTCTATAAAGACTATCTTATGTTCTGGTACAGAAGATGAGCTCTTTATCTTCCAGGAATCCTGACTCTGCTTCCTTCAGTAATTAGTACTATCTGCTTTTTAGATCAGTATCCAAGTTCTAGGACAGGAGATCTTATCAGAGAAGAAGGAATTCCCAAGCAGCCCAGTGGGTGAAGTAGAGCCCCATGTGGAAGTGGCACCTCTGGAGGTGGGACTTCAGAATTCTCCCTCAGGATCTGGGGAGCTGCTGAGCCACATCGTTAAAGAGGAATCTGACACAGAACCAGAGTTAGGTGAGGGGGAGTTACTCCCTGGTGTGGCTTGCTCTCATGGGGAAATTTGGGGATTGTGGTTAGTAGGCATAAGTTAAATGACATGGTGTTCTTGGAAAGTTTGGAAGCAGGGTAGACCTACATGAACTACTCTGACTTAAAGATTCAGTCTTTATTTTAAACTGCTTTGTGATTGAGCCAGACCATTTGGATTCTGAGGAGTGAAGTGGGAGAAAATGTGGATGTAACTCTTTGGAAGTTTGGAGGGGGCTGGGATTTATTAGGAGGTAAGCACAAGCCTGAAAATTTGCATGGGAGAACAAATTGTTCTCATTTGTAAAGTTTCTAATCTGTATCATCTGGGGAGTGGTTAAGGAAGATGTCTAGATTCTAAAATTTCTTTTCTCACTTCAGCTCTGGCTACTTCCAAGGTTCCTGCCCAACATGAGGATAGGGGCATCAGAGAGCAGGATTTCGGAGCTGCCCTTCTCTCAGCAGCACCTCAGGTGAGCTCGGTTCCTCTGCTTCTCTTTACCTGAACCTGCCTTGAGAGTATATCCGGTCAGGGGGACTAACAGGGCTGCAGTCTCAGAAGAGGACAAAAGGGAGATCTCACCTAGGTAACTGTTACAGTACACGTACACATGGGATGAATCCTGAGTTTCAGTGCTTCTTTCAAATCAGAATGTTTCCTAAATATCATCTTGAATAATGGAGTCTGGCCTCTGGAAAAAGGTACAAGTTGTTATGAAAAGGCAAATCTGGTTTTTACTCTAATATAGTCATCTTTGTTAAAAAATATCAAAAACTTTTATTTCCTTGAATATGATACTCACATAGGATGTGACAACTGAGATGGACTGAGTGGGTAGCATATATATAGCATGGATATATTGGACAAAGGGATGATTTCATATCCTGTGAGAGATTTTATTGTGCTACTCAGAACTGTGCAGTTTAAAACGAAGGGATTGTTTAATTCTGAAAAATTTTATTTAACATGTTCAGACTACAGTTGAGTACAGGTAACCAAAACCACAGAAAAGGAAACTGTGAGGTAGAGGAGACTACTGTGTAGTGCCAAAGAATCCTTTAATCTACAGGTATTTTTTTCCCCACTGCTGAGGCAATACCCTTCTGAATATTCTGCCGAATGCCTCTTAATGTGCCCGGTTTTCTACTGTAGCAGATGGAAATACGAATGTTTCTAGCACTATGTGGGCTCAGGGCATGTTCACTGATTCTTTTGGCTGGTTCTACATTGGACTTGAGGGGGCCCCTCCGAAGGGGGGGAAGATCTCCAAAGCTCTCTTTGTGTAGCTCCTTCTTTTCTGGTTTTCTGCCCTGCTTACTCCCACCACTGTGGGCTGCCAAGATTCTGACCTTCTGCTCAATTCCAGGGGGCACCTGGCTTGGAAGGAGTTTCCCCTCTCCTGTACTGTCTGGATCTTCTCTCTAGGCAGTCCATTTGGACAACTGTAGGATGCAGCTTCCTCACTTTTAGGGATCTCTGTTCTGCACTGCACAATGTGCAATGTCTGGAAGCCATTGTTTTGTATGTTTTGTCCCCCTTTTTAGTTGTTTCTGGCAGAAAGATAACTCCCATTCCTGTTATTCTATTGTGACAGACCAAAGTCTCTGGAACAAGTTTATATTGATTATGCAGTTAAAACTCAGGAAAATTACATTTGATTAAACTTCTTTTTTTTTCTCTCAGTACCTGGAATTGAACTCAGGACGTTGTACTTGCTAGGCTTGATTAAACATTCTTTAGGAACATACATATACATCTTAATTGAAACATTATTTAAAAACTTGAGGGACCTCTTCTTGAGACTTTCCTTGGGATAGATAATAGAGTGAAGGTGAAAATAGAGAGGGTAGTGGGTAGTGCTTAAAGTTGTGTTTAGACCAGGCTCTGAGCATCAGCTTTCTGGGTTCAGAGATTAAGAAGGTAGAATGCCAGTGTCACAGTTTACCTTGGGGAAAAGAAGGACGAAGAAGTGAAATGCGAAAGATACATCTTTTTACTGAGTCACGGGTATCTTTCTTTCTTCCTTCAAGGTACCCAAAAGCCAACCTGCTAAAGAGGAAGATGTTTGGTAAATAAAATTGGGGGTCTGAGGGTGTAGCTCGTGACAGTGTGTGTTCTTAAGCATGCGTGAGACCTAGGTCCAATCTCTAGTACCAAAAAATAAAATTTAAAAAAAAAGTAGAAAAAGATTCGTGTATTCTATGAACTATTTCAGCTAGCCCTGGAAGATTAGTGTTGCTTCTGTAGTATATAGACAGGCATATGTCATTTATTAATATATTTTGATAACCAGTAGAGTACACAGACATTAGCAACTTCCTGGTTGAGATAACCTAAATGATCAAAATGCTCAGCAGCAACCATTTGTTATTGACAACAATGTATACATATACATGAGTCTGAATTTAGCTGGTGAGTGATTACTAACCACTCAAATAAAAGTCATTCCTGCTCATTCCCAATGCCCCTCTATTAAACTAACAGTAATTATTTGCCTCAGAAAGACCTTGCTATTTAATAGAAAGTAAATTTGAAAGTAAAGGGAATTTTAAAATAGAAGTAATCACTCTAATCTTTTCTGTGATTTAGGAACTTGGTGAATACTGCAAGAATAATGAAGTGGTATCATTATAACAACATAGTATTAGTTCATTACAGAAACCATGACTGATCTCTCATCTGAACTGGAAGGATGGATATATTTACTACATTTTTGTGCTTTTTTTTTTTTTTTTAAAGAAAAAATGTCCTTTATTTACATACATGTAGGGAAATAATGATAGTGTTATGGGAAATATGAAATGTTGTATCTCCCAACCTGTTAACTGTATGATACATTAAGTTCTTTCTCTCTAGAAATCGAAGAGTGAGTCCTAGGCATGACGGAGGTTAAAAATAGGAAGATATTTATTGATAGGAAAGCTCCTGAGGGACAGGAGGGGTCCAGAGTGGGTAGCCAAAGACCCCCCTTTACAGAGAAATTTTATAGGGTGAAACCCACATGGGTACAACGTGGGCCACCACCATGAACATCCAGTAAGGTCACAAGTATAGTCGCTTAGGTAATGGTGGTCCAGTTGGGAAGCAAGTCACGAAGCAAGCATACAAGGATTTTCAGTAAGGGTGGGTCAGGGATATTTCCTGGAGAGCCTGGGTTAAGACCTTGACCCCCCACCCAGGTGATTGATGCCCATTTAGAATATCAATCACTGCTATTTATCTCCTGAGGAAGCACGAGGCTGTATAGTTTCTCTCCTTTTAATTCTGGCCTTCAGTGAATATGCCTTGGGCCACAATTGTCCTCTGTGCTGAAGGCCCAGCCCTGTATAACCGGCTGTAATATCTATAACTAACTCAGGTGTCTACAATACCAAGAGCCCCCAATAACCTTCCAGCAAATCCTCTTGGTCTGTCACTTTCTGTGCATACAGCCAGGAAGTCTAATTGATGTGCTGTGGTTTTTTTCACCTTTGTCCTGGCCTTCTTGAGGACTTAGCCCTATCTGACTGCCTATGATATTTCTACCTAGTTCATCTATCTATAATATTCCCCCCTCTGAAGTGTGTTTTGAAACATAGAAGAAAGGAACATAGTATAAATAACTCCTTGTGCAAGCCAGTTGTGGTAATATCTCGTAAATCCACAAGATGGTGTTCTTTCCACACAAAATATTGTGATTTCCACCTCAAGCCCTACCCTTTTGTCCTTCCAGAATAGAAAGTCAGGCTTTTTCCTTCTCTGTAAATATGAGAAGGCAGTCAGATGGCCGCTGTCAGTGTCTTTCATCCCAAATAGGGGATTATATTTGAGTTTCTCCAGCCACTTGGCAGCTCTTTGAGTAAGTATGTGGCCTTAGATTGGAGATACACTGTTCAGACTCCTGTAGCAACTTCTGGCTTTTGGGTGGGCTGATATGACTCATGGGTATTGGTGTTGGTGCTCATACCCTCTTTTGTCTCGTACTGTTATTGGTAGTGACTGTGCTGTGCCCATGGAGTCGGCATGTCAGACATCCAGTCAGATTGCACTGTGCCTAGCATTCACAACCTTTTCTCTGCTACTCACAAAGTGAGAGAAGTGTGTTCTGATCGTGGAGACTGAGGGTGCCTTTATTCAGCAATATTTGCTCATCCTGGTTATTTTCAGGGCCATTAATATAGCCTCATTCACAGAGCGCTAACAAAATAAGCTGCTAGCAATTCATATTTTAAATATTTTAAATGTTAAATTGAAATTCATATTAAAATGTGGTTCTAGTTAATAGTTGATACATAGTTGAGTATCTCTTCTGTTTTTGACTTAGCATCTGCTAATCCAAGACTTATTTTTTGAAAAAATAAAATTTTTTAACAAAATGAAAGTAACAATAGTTAATACACTGTGTATCATAATCTTAAAAGTAGTTACTCAGAGTGCAAGACAGACAAAAAACGAGACAAGCAGATAATGGCACCAAACTTTTCAGTGAACTAAGAAATGAGTAGTAAAATCAAATTAGGATTTATATTAAAATATTTTTGAAACAACAGAATAGGTAATTTGGGAAATTATTTGAACTTCTCCCTACTTCTTATTTGTCTATCTTCTATTTTGGTTTTTATTTGTATACAAATACATGGTTTCTAATATAAGAGAAACCATGAGCTATTTAAGCGTGTGGGTCTGATATATTTCACTTATCATTGTTCTCAAGTTACATCCATTTGCCTACAAATGCCTTGAGCTTATCTTTATAGCACAGTAATACTCCACTGTGTATAAATACACATTTTCCTTACCCTGCATCTGTTGATGGACATATATGCTGTTTACAGAATCTGGCTATTATAAATTGTGCCACTATAAATATGGGTATGCATGTTTCCCTGTAATGTAATGATTTTAACTCTTTTGGAAGAGGAAGGGAGATAGCTGGGTCAAATGGAATTTATCTTTTCAGTTTTTTTGAGAAATCTGATTTCCATAGTGGTTGCACTAGTTTACATTCCCATCAACAATGTAGAAGAGTTCCTTTGTCCCACATCCTTGCCTGAATTTGTTACTATATGATTGTTTGATGATAGGCATTCCTTTTCTAGCAAGATGGTATCTCAGTGTACTTTTTTTTTTTTTTTTTTGGTGCCAGGGATTGAACTCGGGTCCTTGAGCTTGCGCAGCAGGCGGCGAAACCACTGAGCTAAATCCCTGGCCCTATCTCAGTGTACTTTTATTTTTTATTTTATTTTATTTATTTATTTTTTATTTATTTATTTTTTAGTTTGTTTGTTTTTTGGTACCGGGGATTAAACTCGGGACCTTGCGCTTGCAGGGCAGGCACTGGAACCCCTGAGCTAAATCCCCCGCCCTCAGTGTACTTTTAATTTGTGTTTCTCTGATGGCTAGAGATGATGACAGCTTTTTCACGTCTTTATTGGCCATTTGTATTTCTTCTGAGATGTATCTGTTCATTTTGGTTGCCCGCTTTTTGATTGGGTCTTTTATTTTGAGAAGTCTTTTTTGAGTTATTTATGTATTCTAGATGTTAGTCCTCTGTCTGAGGAGTAGCTGGCAAAAATTTTTTTCCCATCCTCTAGATTGTCTTTTCATTCTGTTGGTTGTTTCCTTTGCTGTGTAGAAGCTTTTTTTTTTTTCTAGTGCTCACAAGTTTATATTTTTAGGTTTGATTTTATAAGCTTTTTCTTTTTAGGTACTGGGGATTGAACTCAGGTCCTTGTGCTTGCGCAGCAGGCGGCAAAACCACTGAGCTAAATCTCCAGCCCCTGTAGAAGCTTTTTAATTTGATAGAATCCTATTTGTTGATTCGAGGTATTATTTCTTCTGCCATTTGGATTCTGTTCAGAAAAGTCCTTGCCTACACTTGTGTCAAGCTTTTTTTGTGCCCCTCTCTCCTTGATCCATTTCCACCTCTCTCTGGTGTGCTAGGGGTAGGCTTGATTTAGGACTAAGAGTGCCATTTCTGAGTAGGATATTGCAAGATGATTTCATAATTAGTCTCTTCATTTCTGTTCTCTGTAGCCTGGCTATTTATGACTTGATGTATGATACCAACTTGGGGAGGGGTCTCTGCAAGTACAGAGAACCCCTTAGTTCTCTCTGCAAGCGTTAGGATGAGTCTAGGAGGCTGCATATGATAGTGATACTAATGGTCATTCACTGAAGATTTATTTGCTAAGGGTTTTATTTTACTCATGTGATATATATCTAGTGCCTGCTCTGTCACAGGCAAAGACTTGGGGGCTGGGAAGGTATAGTACTGAGTATGACAGAGTCCTTTTCTATATAGTACTGAGTATGACAGAGTCCTTTTCTGAGTTTAATGACAGTAGAAGCAACAGTTAATCAAATACTTATGTGTATGTCAGTATACATATGTAATATACACAAATACTTAGCAAACTGATAAATGCTATGAATAAAAATATACTGTGCTTTGAAAACAGGTGACACTGCCTTGTTTCAAACCTCCCAACAGTATTTTTTAGGTCAGTACTATTATTAGGGGAGGACCAGTACTCACTCTAGAAGATTCAGATGTGTTATGTACATGTACTGACTCTTCACAAGAAATATATGCATTATGTACTTCAAACATGTACCAATAAAAATAAATATTAAAAAAAGATACTTGCTCAAGGTAACAGTTTGAAAGTGGCAAAGCTGGGACTTGAAACCCAGTATGTTTGACTCCAAAGAATGAGCTGCTAGTCACTGAATATCTTGGTAGGGAGATTGAAATTTGGATTCATGAGGATGGGTCTGAGCTGGGCAGTATTTCTAGTTTTGAATCTCTAGTCTGACATTCCATAGGAAAAGGGGTCTCCTTTGTGGATAATGGAGGGACACCTTGCTCTGGGAAACGTATCACATTCCCCCTAATTAAGAATAGAACTGATTTAATGTTAGGCCCTACATGCAGAACTGTTGATTCCAGGTGTGGGCCAGGGATTTAGCTCAGTGGTTCCGCCGCCTGCCTGGAAACTGCAAGGTCCCGAGTTCAATCCCCGGTACCAAAAAAAAAATGCCAATATTGATTCCAGGTGTGTATGGATGCAACATCTGCCTTTTCTTTTGAATCCATCATTTTTTGTTTTTGGTACTGTGGATTGAACTTAGGACCTTGCACTTGCAAGGCAAATGAGGCACCACTGAGCTAAATCCCTGGCCTGAATCCATCAATTTTTGTTTCAGAGTAAGGCTTTCAATGCAGTTGACATCATTGTTAATTTCTCCAACCTTTTTTGCTGATTTGTACTTCCCTTTCCAAAAGATTCCTCTTTTCCCTCTTGAATTTGCAGATTTAAAAAATTTTATTTATTTATTTATTTTTGCCTTAGTAGAACCGGTTTACAGTACATAATAATTACATTCACTATAGGGAATTGGTCCAGATTGTAATTAAATAGTGGGGAATGAGGCTTATTTTAACCCATACTCCAAGCACTTAAAGAGTTAAAAAAGTAACAGTGTAGAGAAGAGGTATGCTTTTTGTATGTTCTGCTCTTAAATAGATGCAGCTTAAAGATGAATGTAAACTCTAAATGTTTTCTAATCAGGCCAAGAAATACTGATGTAAAGAACTATCATTTTCTCCTTGGTCTCTTTGTTTCTTGACCTACTCTCTCATTATTAGATCTTCTATCAGAACCCTGCAGCACATTCCATTCTTCTCAGCTTTCTTGTGAGCAGGGAAAGCAGGCTTGAACACCTTCCCTGGAGTGACAGTATTTTGTTTTTTGTAGGAGCAGTGGAGACACCTGGATTCCACTCAAAAGGAGCAATACTGGGATCTCATGCTGGAGACCTATGGGAAAATGGTCTCAGGGGGTAAGGCATGGGTCACCTTGATAGAAGGAGGTGGAAAGAGTAGAAAACTATTAAACATTGCTTATGCATTTGTAGAGTTATATGCTTATCTTCAAGTTCTATGGGTGAAAGAAATCACAGAGACAGAGTTGGGAACCAGGGCGAGTTAGAGGAGTTATAGTAAGAATCCCTTGATAGTATTTTGTGTGCTATGAACTTTGTGACAGTATTTCTCTTTTAAAGATCATGAAAGTGAATGTCAGATCTAGTACTTGCACATTGTTACATAGTTTGTAGGTGCTCAGTCAAGATGGAACTTGTGACTACCTCTGAGTCCATGATCTTTCCTACCAAATCACTGCCTACTGCCTCAAGATACCCACTGGTGGACTCCCTGTTATGATCCTTGCACCAGCCTGCCAGGGATCTACAGCTTTCTGGCCACCTGTCCAGACTCTTGTTTTTGTGGTCTTCACCATAATCCTAATCATTTTGGGAGTACTCTGGACTGTTACTCGGAAGACTAAGTGTGTTCCACAGCTTTCATATTTCCCTTATACTTGGTGTGTTCTTTTGTTTTTATTTTTATTTTTTGGTACTGAGGATCGAACTCAGGTCCTTGTGCTTGCGGGGCAGGCGGCAGCACCACTGAGCTAAATCCCTGGCCCTGGTGTGTTCCTTTGAAAGACACAGCTAGAGCTCCCAGCCTTTCCTATTTATCCAGGCCCACATACCTATCTGTCCCTTTGTAGCAGGCATTTCCAACTCTAAACCCAACCTGACTAATTCAGCAGAATGCGGGGAAGATCCGGCAGGGCTACACCTTCATGTCGGTGAGAAGATCCCAAGACTCAGTTGTGTAGGTGAGTGATTTTTCACTGATCTGGAGCCATAGCTGAACTCCTGTTAAATTGGAGATGGGGAGGAGGTATTAGGATGTGGTTTTTGCTCTTTTTTTTTTTTTGTTCTCAGTACTGGGGATCGAACTCAGGACCTTGTGCTTGCAAGGCAGTCGCGGTGCCACTGAGCTAAATCCCCGGCCTAGGATGTGGTTTTTATTACATTGGCTATAATGAGCCATGATCAGGTTGGTCTGGTTTGATTTAGGTTTCCTTATCTCTGGCTGTATCAAATATATGTTGATACATGTATTTAAACATGAAGGCAAGAGAGAATTTTTTTTCTCAGAATTAAGATTCATACAAATTGATGCCAATACAGGTAAATGTAGTATTCCATCACAAATGAGATTATGGAACAACCATTATTACCATTTCTAGCAAGAAGGTTCAGAGAAGCTAGACTTTTCTTATTCTGGTTATTGTGAGCATCCACTCTCAGCAAATTGAAATAAACAGAAAAACATGTTTTATTTAATCTCTGTCCAGCTAACATTCATGAAATAGTGGCATCAGCAAATACTTTATATAAATTATATGTAAGACTAGGGAAGAAAAGATCTGAACTTAGTTATAAAATTGCAGTCACTCTTTGCTTTCTGTAATCTTTCTAAAACATGGCAATTATGTAAAACTTAACTCACACACACACACTGTCATTTATTTCATTTACCTATGAAATAAATCTCAGAGCCTTAGAGGAAGAAAAGCACTAACAAGGGGAATTTTGTGACAAATCATTCTTTCTTCCCAGTGGATTCTAGTTAATTATTTTCCTTTGCTGATTTCCCACACTAAGACATCATGATTTTAATTCTCTTCTCTTTGTGCTGGTTATTTAACCCCGGGCCTTGTGTATGCTAACCATGCACTCCTCCTCTGAGTGCTACTCCAGCCATGATTTTAAGTAGTATTTTTACTATTATGGTATTTCACAGGGATTCCTTTAGAGCAATATTTTTCAAACTATACTTTATGGCCAATCAGTAGGATTTTTTTTTTGGATAGATTTTATTTTTTAGTGCAGTTTTGGGTTCATAATAAATTTGAATAGGAGATACAGAGATTTCCTATATACCCTGTGGCAGCAAGATGGTATTTGTGATACACAGCTCAGTGTGTCCCCACCCATTCTAGTTTTGTTTTTTTTTGTTTGTTTGTTTTGTTTTTTCCTTTTCCCTTTATCCTACCTGCTGATGTGGCCTCATCAGAGCCTACCTTGAGCCATGGAGAGTCCACAAGGCCAGCCTGCCTTCATAGCAGAAGAGATACATGTTAGCTCCCTTGAGAAGGGATATGTGGAAAGAATCTTGGGAAGAGTAATTTGGTAGCAGTCTGTGGGACAGATAGGCAGGGAGCATTTGGAGGAGAGAACCTTGTGCGGAGCTGATGCAGGAGTCCAGGTGTTCAGGTGAGAAACCCTGGACTGGTGTGGAAGTCACAGGAACAAGACAGGAAAGGACTGGCCTGAAAAAGTTACAACATTTAGCTAGTCTGATAGATCTGTAGTCACACCGGGGCAAAAATCACAGGAGAGAGTAGCTATGGCATTTTGTTTGAACATGTAGAAAGAAGAACAGCTCAGAGTTAAAGAAGGCCATCAGGGGTCAAACTCAGAAAGCTATTTATTCACACTTGTTAACAAATTCTGGAGGGATTAAAAAATCATTTGGCAGCAAGGTCCTGAGTTCAATCCCCAGTACCAAAAAAAAATCATTTGGCAAAAAAAACCTCTTAAATGCCTATTTGGAAGAACACAAAAGACAAGAATAGTAAAAAAAGTTTTAGAATATTTCATACATGTTAGGTCTTTAAATGTTGAGAATCTGTTGTATATATAAGGTAGAATCATTAAAATAGCATACTGATACAAAATTGTTATATACATCAATGAAACAGAAAACAGAGACTAGGAAGAGATACTGGGCAATGTAAGACTTAACATGTGAGGAAGGAAGAAGCAACACAAATCCATGGTGATGAGCTGAGTGTGGTGGCACCCATCTGTAATACTAGTATTCTGGGAGTCTGAGGCAGGATAATTACAAGTTCAAGTCTTGCCTGAGGAATTAAGTGACTTAGTGAGATCCCGTCTCAAAGTAAAAAATAAATGAAAGCTGGGGATGTAGTTTGGTGTGATGGTCTTAGATTCAGTTCCCAGTACCCCTCCCCCCAGAACATATAGTGTACACACACACACACACACACACACACACGTAAAATCCCCAACTTCTGTGCATAAAAGTAATCCCAAACAAAATAAGGGTAACTAAATTGGTGGAAACATTTTTCATGAACATGACAGATATATGATATTCTACATCATTTTTCTTAATATGGAAAAAGTTAAAACAAGTTGATAGGAAAATATGACATTCCCAGTGAAAAATGGACAGCAGTCTTGGATTATGAAAAAGTAGCTTATAAAGTGAAAGAGAAAAAATCCTTTCATAAATAACGAATTAAAATTTAAAATAAAACTCATTTTTCACCAATCTAGGTGGCATATAAAAAATTTGGTACTTAAGTATTTATTCAGCTGTCACTCTGTCCTGTTTCATATACCAGAGTATATGGCAGAGAGAGTCTGGAAGTTGAGTTGCTAGGAGGTGTCAAAACCTTAATATTCATGCACGTTGACAAAGTAATTCTGCTTTGATGAGTTCTTTTAAGGTGTAGATCAGAAATGTAGGCAAAAAATCATGAAGAAAAATGATGATGACAAAGTTATTTATAGTAACAAAACCACAATAAACAGCAGATTTCCATAGTAGAAGAATTCTCAGATACATTCTGACACCTTCATGATGGGTCATTACTCAGCTCTTTAAGAAGCTATTTATGGACTGGGGATTTAGCTCAGTGGTTCTGCCACCTGCTTCACAAGCACAAGGTCCCAAGTTCAATCCCCATACCGAAAAAAAGAAAGAAAGGAGCTATTTATAAGACTTCTTTAAAGACAAGGTACAGTGCCTTTGCCATTTAAGTGGAACATGTTTTAACATTTTGAGAATTAACAAATTCAGTTCTAATTCTTTGGCAGATGCCTACATCTTTGGTAGATAATTGGAAAGACATGAATCTATGAAAGAGAAAAGTAAATAGCCTGTTTAGATCTGTAGGAGTAATTTGTAAAAGTTCAAAATAAATCCTGCACCAAAATAAAAATCTTTACATAACTTGGTAACATTAAAAAAGCTAAATTATGGGCTGGGGATGTAGCTCAGCAGTGCAGCACCTACTTGGCAAAGCGCGAGGCCCTGAGTTCAATTCCCAGTACCGGAAAAAATAAAAAATTTTACAAAAGGAAAATTATAAGAATAATTATAACTCGTTATTGAGTTAATAAAGCACATGTAGCTGGGTACAGTGGACCCACGTCTGTAGTCCTAGGTACTTGGGAAGCTAAGGCAGGAGTTACTTGAGTGTAGGAGTTTGAGGCCAGCCTGGGCAACATAAGATACTGTCTCATTCATAAATCAGTAAATAATTGATCACATCTGAATACTGGATTCAAGTAAAGACCCAGGGATTTACTTTTACAGTACAACTCCACTGCATTGCACCCATAGTAAAATGACATATTAACAAATTTCATGAAATTTTGTATTGTGAATGGGAGAATCTATGTTAAATTGACCAGAACCACTATTTACAATTTAAATGTTACATAGTTGAATTTAGAGCTGTATACACAATATCAAAAACAGCATATCCACTCATACATATGGATTAAATAAAAAGGAAGTGTATGTTCATAGTTACCTTTGGTTAGAACAGTTGAGGTTTTATGTGTATATTTTTTCTGCAAATGTTTTTAGTGATCATATTTACCTTTTATATAATTAGATAAAAATTAACCATTTTAAAAAATACTCTTTACATATAATATACTTAATTTACCTGGCCCTTAAGAAATGCACGTTGCTTATTTATGAAAGGGTCAGAAAAACCCCTTTTGCCTCATGTGCTGTTTAGAAATTCTCACCTCTTACTATGTAGCCCCGAACCCAGCAAAGGTGAAGTGAGTCTGGATTGTTCAGGATGTTCTTCCTCATTTGCCGATACCCTCATGGTAAAAATAAAGAATATTTTCTGATGACCCTTTCTTTGACATATGAGTTAGAAAATAGGACATGATACTCATTGAACTATTTTAAACCTTCTTTCTCTTTTTAGGAGATAGACAAGAGAATGACAAAGAGAACCTAAACTTGGAAAATCACAGGGACCAGGAACCACTGGATGCTTCCTGTCAGGTCTCAGGTGAGGCACCTCCTCAGGCATCCTTGAGGGGCTTCTTCACGGAGGATGATCCAGGACGTTTTGGAGAAGGAGAGAATCTCCCTGAGTCTCTGGAAAACCTTCATGGTGAGGGGGCAGCAGAACAACTGTCTCCTCATGAAAGAAATTCTGGGAAACAGCTAGGACAGTACATGCCTAATCCCCCTCCTGAAGAACTGTCTGCCGTGTGGCTTGAGGAGAAGAGAGAGGCCTCTCAGAAGGGACAGCCAAGAGCCCCTATGGCCCAGAAATTCCCCACCTGCAGGGATTGTGGGAAAACCTTCTATAGGATTTCACAGCTTGTCTTTCACCAAAGAACTCACACTGGAGAGACATATTTTCAGTGCCCCATCTGCAAAAAAGCCTTTTTGCGGAGTTCAGACTTTGTGAAACATCAGAGAACTCATACGGGAGAGAAGCCTTGTAAATGTGATTATTGTGGCAAAGGCTTTAGTGACTTCTCAGGATTGCGCCACCATGAGAAAATCCACACAGGAGAGAAACCCTACAAATGTCCCATCTGTGAGAAAAGCTTTATTCAGAGGTCAAACTTTAATAGACATCAGAGGGTTCATACGGGAGAGAAACCTTATAAATGTTCCCACTGTGGCAAAAGTTTCAGCTGGAGCTCGAGCCTTGACAAACATCAGAGATCTCACTTGGGAAAGAAACCCTTTTAATAGCCTGCTCTCAGCTCTTTTCTGTCTCCCTGTCCATTTAAAAATGCTCAGCTCTACTTGGACGATTCATCCGTAAGAGGAAATTCTGTTCTTTCCATTTTTCATGGCTTGAAGGGGAGAGTACTTGGACATGTTTTTAAACTTGGAAGATATATCAGCCTCTGGATTGGATTTGATGATAGCTTAGTTTCTTGCTTCTGTATCAGAAGAAAGAATAGTCTTTATGTTTCAGCCTCTCCTTTTGAACTCACTGGGGGAAAAGTCACTGAGATCAGTTTTGGGAGTGCCCTCTGGGGAGTTTAACTGGAATGCCTGCAGTCAGTGCTCGAGGGAGTAGCCTCAGACCAGCCCTCTAGAATTGGGTCCTAGGTAGGTCTCCTGTTACAGAAGGGGAGGCAGAGAGGCCCTGTGAGCCCATGTATGTACCTTGTCATACAGGTGAAACATTAACTTCAGGTGTCCCTTTTTTGAAATAAAGTTAGGCAAGTCATTTCCTGTCTTATTTGTGTTTGAAATATTTACTGCATGTTTTTTTTGTTTTTGGTACCAGGGATTGAATTCGGGTCCTTGTGCTTGTGAGGCAGGCGGTGAAACCACTGAGCTAAATCCCTGGCCCAATATGGTTTACCTTGGGGTTTGTTTTTTTTTTGGTACTGGGGATCGAACTCAGGTCCTTGAGCTTGTGCAGCAGATGCTGCATGTTAACTGTAGTTCCAAAGCCAGTTTTTTTCATAGAAGACTGTAAATGGTTGTTGAGTTCCAAGATTAGCCCATGTAAACCTAACAAGTCTGTAATGTAGCAGAAGAATAATAGAAAAGTGCTAACCTGTGCTCAGGTTGTGGGAACGTGGCTGTTGCTGAACACACTCTCTCGGGTAGGTTTTGTCTTTGGTAACCCTTTCCTGAGCTTACCTGCCACTTAATGTGCCTCAAGCTTCCCCTCTTTCTCTTGGCATCTTTGTTGGGCTATCATTTTTCACAAAGTGCTCTGTGCTTTTAAATCTTTATTATCTCATATTGCTTGTAGGTGTTACAAGAAATCAGTAGTGTTGATCCACTTTTTAATACTGCCTAGAGGTTTATTAACATACATATCTAACCTCTCCAATGGTCCGTGTCTTCCAAAGTTATATGCCTTAAAGTGCCCTGCTCTCATATAGTAAGAGTTCTGTCTTCAACCACTTAGTCTTCTTGCTTGGTCTCAATACATTTTTCTGGGGAGTGTCATGAAGGATGATACTAATGAGAAAGGCAGAACTATTTCTCTGAAAACAGGAGACTACAAGATGTTCTCAGACAATGAAAAATTGATAGGAAAGGAGGGACAAAACTCAAGTTGGAGTTCATGGACTCGAGGAATTTGTTCACTCTCTTACAGTGTAAAGAGGAGTAAAGCCCCACTGGCCCGAGATTTAGCTCTGGTTCTGCCGCCTGCCTCGCAAGCGCAAGGTCCCCAGTTTAATCCCCCGTACCAAAAAAAAAGAAAAAAGCTCCACTTGAGATTCAGGACCTGTGACGAAGAAAACAGGAAAATCGTGGAAGAACTGGTATTACATTCTGTATTCTGCGTAGGAGAGATTTATAGGATGATGGGATTTGATGTTTTAAATTGGGTTCTCAGTGTGTGGCTTCAGAGCAGCAGCAATGGCATTTTGTTAAACTTACTGAATCACAAATTCTGAAGGGTGGGATTCAGCAATTTTTTGTCTTAACAAGCCCTCCAGGGGCCCCTGATACCTGATGTAGTTTAAAAGCCACTGTTCTAAATAGCAATTAATAATTTTTTTAAAAGTCTCTGCAAGGCTATAAGGGAATAATAATCCCAGAAGGAATACTGAGCCTTCCCAGACTTCTTACCAAGTCACCATGTAGCACTCTAAAACTCAGCATAACTGGAACTCTTTGTGTTTCTAGTGAACATTTGTTCTGCAGAGTAAAATATGAAAAACGTTTAGGTTAAAAAGTGTTAGAGGAAGAATTTCTCCTTGGGTACCTCTTAATGGTCTCAAGAATGACAGAGACACAGGGTACTTGCTCACAATTGTGTCCTTAGCAAATAGGGGTCGGATAAAAATGCATAGAATAGATTTGTGAATTAATGAAAGTACCACATGTGTACTTTCCTTAGCCTCTATAGCAGGGATCAGCAAGACACGACCCATTATGTGTTATAGTAAATAAAGTTTATTGGAATATAGCCATACTTATGTATTACCTGGACTGCTTTTGGGCTGCCATGGCAGAACAGAGGAGTTGAAAGAGACAATATGGCCAGCAAAACCTCAAATATTTATTATCTGGCTCTTTACAGAAAAATTTTGATGATCCCTTAATCTAGGATAATGCTTCCCAAACTGTAATGTACAGGTAATGTACAGGCCGATCACCAGGAAAGCTGGTGAAGATGGAGATTCTGATTCATGGGCAATACCAGTGTCACTTGGAGTACCTGGGAGCTAGACCACTGAGGATATGTGCTGTGTAATAAGGGCAAGGCTCAAGTGTTTGTGGCTTGTTTCTGTTAGCCTTTTCAAGGTCACTTATGACTCAGCAACTCTGAAAAGCTGGCCAGGACACAGTTGAATAATCAATCACTTTATTAGGAAAGGTTAGTACTACAAAATTTTTTTCCAGTAGTTCCTGGGCTCAGTCTCACTTTGGGCACCAGTTTCCAGGCAGAGTTCTACAGAAGTTGAGTGCTCATTTCTTACCTTCTAAGTGTTTGTGGTCACTCCTCACCTACCTGTCTTCAGAGAATCTCTAGCTCACCCTCCTTCCATGTTTTCTCAGTGGCTCTTCAGAAAGCTAAATCTGGAGAAGCAAGGCTACTCCTGCTAGAACCCACTTGGATGGATTTTCCTTAGTCTTCAAGTTGAAAGTCCACACGTAGGTGGGTCCCCGCTGACAAGTCTTGTACACAGGGCAAGAATAGACATTGCGGCAATCCTGTTTATCTGCAGGAATGGCCTTGATGAACATCACAGGCATGGGAGGTGTCAGATCCTTCAGCTTTGCCTCCGTAATGATCCCAGCCTGAGGACGAGAACATGAGATGAGCTATCTTAGATGTCACCCAGAGCCCAGCCTGCCAGCCTTGTTCCTGTTAGAAGAGATGTGAGACGGATATCCTGGCTGCCTCTCTGCCTGCTTCCCTTGCAGTTTCAATAACTCACAGTGGAAGCCATCTCATACTTAGAAGACATTTTTCTTTCCAGCCTAAATCACTTCTTTTTTTTTTTTTTTTGGTACCAGAGATCGAACTCAGGACCTTGTGCTTGCAAGGCAGACGCCTGAACTACTGAGGTAAATCTCTGGCCTGATCGCTTCTTGATGTTTAGTTCCAAAAGTTTTTATTTATCAAGTACCCCTTTGGAACTTGATTTTCCCCTTGTTTTATTTTTTTCATTGAATTTTCTAAGAATATTGAATGCAACTATTTGGCAGATGTCATGAAGACACAGGTTTTTTTTTTTGATACCAGTGATCGAACTCAGGACCTTGTGCTTGCGAGGCAGGCAGTGGCACCACTGAGCTAAATGCCTGCCCCTGATGACACAATTCTGATAGCAAAGGTTTTTGTTATATTCCATTTCTTTTTCTTTTCAGTTTCACATACAGTCTTATCCACCTCTACAGCATTTTAACTTTTTTGTGTGTGTGTGGTACTGAGGATTGAATCCAGGGGAGCTCTACCACTGAGCTACATCCTCATCCATTTTTTTTTTTAAGTTCTTTGATTGGTACATTTTAGGTATACAATTCATTTACTTTTATCATTGGGTGTTTATACCTGTAGATGATATATCTTGGTTTTTTTTTTTTGGTACCGGGGATCGAACTTGGGTCCTTGTGCTTGCAAGGCAGCCGGTGGCACCACTGAGCTAAATCCCTAGCCCTGGTTCTTTTTTGTTTTTCCCTCATTACCTGTGCACCCTTCACCCGCTCCATCCTTCCCTATTTACATAGATTTCATTTCCATTTTTCTTTTCTTTTCTCATAGTTTTTCCTTTCCCTCTTTTCCTTTCCCCTTCCCCTCCTTTCACTCCTTCGTCTTTGGACCTTTTTTCCTATTTCAAATTATCAATTATTCATTTTCATCATTTTAACCCTTGTTTACACTATCAGTT